GCAGGTCGCCAACTTTGTGCCCGGTCTCAAACGATCCTTGCTATTGAAGTGACACATCGTAGGAGGGTGCTTTTCTAAGTTACAACTATTCGTTATAAGTATTACCGAAAAAAATTGTCAAATAAGCGTAGGAGGAAAAGCTTTTTGACGTAGAATTTTCAAGCTAACTTTGATTTGTAATCTCTGGCCTTTTTCCTCAATCATGATGATCTTTATCTCAAGAAAATTATCCCAAAATAATAAAAAGTGCAGCTGAGTTGCGTGTTTCCTTAGTTTATCCTCATTTCAGGTCACATAACCACTTTGACTGGCCACGCTCCAAGTACAACACACGATTTATAATAGTGAATATTTAGTTATTAGGGTTTTTTTCCTTGGAGTATTCACTCCAAGTAGCAAGAGCTGTGAGGCAACAGTGTAAAATTGACGTGAACGCCAATGAGGAGGATATTCAAAAGTTTTCTTTCAAAATGGAAGAAATTCAACTAATTTCTCTACTTCCCTTTCATTTTTAGCTTAAAGATTAAAGTTACATCTGCAGTGAAACCGGCTGAGTTACGTTATCATCCCAAAGAAGAAGAAGAAGAAGAAGGAATAGTAATAGTTAGTAATAGTAATAGTAAAAGTTATAGAAAGTCCACAGTAAAAAGAAACACCTGGGCCGATGACGTCGCCTAAATTTGAAAATTCGCGTCAAAACAACGCTACGGAGAAGAGTTGGCCATTGATTACAAGAAATTTCTGCCATCTTATTGTTACTTGTTGAGAAGGATATGAAAAGATGTTATTAAAACTGGTAACGGGGAACGGGGAACGGGAACGGGAACGGGAATGGGGAACGGGAAACGGGAACGGGAACGGGAACGGGAATGGGGAACGGGGAACGGGAAGCGGCAAACGGGGAACGGCGAACGGCGAACGGCGAACGGGGAACGGGTGTACAGCGGTAACCCACCTGAGAATTCAAAATGGCTGAGTAAATGATGTTTACAAACACCGATTTTATCGCTAGGTCGCCGCTTGCAGCGAAATTAGACGACTCGCTTTTATTTAACTATTGCCCAGCCGAAGCCACGAAGCCTAGTATTCCGAGGCGAGAATTCGAAGTCAACGTTTCTGCAATGGCTGCCACCATTTGTTCTGACGTCTCTCTTTGTTTTTCCTTCCTGAAATCTGCATCTTTTGGCAGAGTATGGGTATGTTGGTTGTTTGCATTGCCCAACAGCATTTTTTGCAGATAAGTAGCAAGGAGGTAATATCTTAGATTAACAGAAATGAGCTAGAAAACGTATTAACCAGCCTAGTTATTAAAATTACAACA